TCTCTCTCTTCGTCTCTCTCTCTTCGTCTCTCTCTCTCTTCGTCTCTCTCTCTCTTCGTCTCTCTCTGTCCCTGTCTCAGTCTGTCTCTCTGTCAGCCTCTGTCCGTCTGTCTGTTTCACTCTCTCTGTCTTACTCTCTATCTCTGTTCTCTTCTGCGTGAAAAACACGTACGCAAGATATGCCCTATTTCATGGAGATCATGGATGACACACGGTTCTACCGCACTGCTGCTGGTCTGTCGTGGAATATAGTACGAACATGACTCTCGGTGACAGACGAAAAATAATTATTGTGGTGCATCCACCAGTATATTATTTAAATTATTTGTTTTCCGCATTTGTGCTGAGTTAATCTTATTCAAACTTGGTAAGGACACTGCGTCAAATTCTAAAGATGAGCCTGTAAGTATTTCGTATCTATGCATACTCTTCTTTTTGTAAAATCTATGTTGATTACATGTCGTTGAATTCACTTTTATTAGTATAGATTACATATATCACATGTAACTCCATATAATACATATTCAATCCATTTATTTCGTGTTTCAATGTAAAAATGATTTTTTCTTTATTTTTACATAGTCAGTCATACTATGCCTTTGTATTAATGCATAGCGCAGGTCACCTTTGTAATCTAGGGATTAAGAAACTCTTCACTTGATTTCCAACTTGATCATCAAAATATTAACTGACAGAACCATTGCATACCTCATCTCAATATATACCTCCGTGCATCGTAAGTGGCACTTTCCAACATCCTTGAAACTCGGCGTTCCCATTCCTGAAACTTCCCATTCTTAAATCAGATAAATTCTTGTCCCTCATCGCTAGTTATCCCCCAATAATGCTACTCTCTACCCTATCCAATATTCCACAAAAAAAATGTTTATTGATTTTCTATAAATCGTGTTATTTGTGCCCCACCCTTGCAACAACTGCTGCCGAGAAAACTTTTTACGCTGAATCTACTTCTTTTATGGTGACGTGACTGTTCACAGTACACAATCAGAAGTTGGAAATTGCACAAAATGGGAAATTAATATTACGTGTTTTTTAAATATGCATATCTTGTATTCTTTTCAGACTCTTGGAGCGCACAATAAACGGCGTTGGGGTCCGAAAACAAGAGGCCGCCAGCGCATTTGCGGCTGTGTACGCCACTGAACTGGGAGTTGACGTTACGCTGCATTTTTTGCAGGAAAAATATGACGAAACACGAAATTAGTAAGCAAGATATCTCATAATACCA